CCAACTTTCAACTATTTTACAGACTTCCAAAATCTATGTTTGTATTAAACAGAAAATGAATCGCCCATGTGCAAAGTGAAGTTGTAGAGCACAGACTGTCAATGTTACTGTAAATATGGCACCAATACTGTAATTACTGTGTACAGTCACATCCCTGCAGTTGCACAGTCAGTGGTTAGTAGAAACAGAACCTATGCCTTAATATTTCATGAAGAAACCTTACTGTGTTTCCATGTATTAAGAAATGCTAAAAAAAATGCAGAGCTAAATAGCCTGCATTTAATCAAGAGTTTAATTTCACCTCCTATAAGATCTTTATACTTCATGATGAATTACAATTGATACACATACATTTTTTTATTTTAATACTTACAAATATACTTTTAAAAGATTCAGACAGCATAGAGCAAAAAGGAATTTAAATGAATACCACACATTTTGCACTTTTCTAAGCAGTTACTTTCTATAATATAGTTGCACACACCTATTTTTCTTTACAAAAATAATTTAAGATCCAAATAAAATACATAAAATGAAATTATTTCCATAGTAAATTATTTAGAGTCAGTTCTATGTTCCATGATACATATCAAAATGGAAAGGCATCATTACAAAAATGTTATTTTTCTTGCATCTCCAACTTGATTTAATTAATTAGATGATTTATTAAAGCCTCTTATTTTAAGCAACATACATAAAATACTAAACATGTTTTTACACTAAAGGAGTACAGAAAATGGTGACATTTATGCCTAACAATTTTGCAAACATTTTTCATCTAAAATATACAAGTCTCTTATAGTGTTCAAAATATCAGCACTTCAGAACAGACTGCTTTAACATCTGCACATCACCAGGGTTTCCCCCAAGGATTTTTAAATGATGCCTGCCTGTGCTGAATAAAGTGCTAACTTGCACCTTGCATTTCAAACTGTGTCCTGAGCAGCCATCCAGTTGGTACAACACCAGCTGAATTCCCAGAGGCTGCTGTTCAATCAGGCTTGACTGCAATTATCATGTCAATATTTTGTGCTCCGATATGCAGATATGCACACATGCAAACTGCATAATACCTTCTTCTCCATGGAATGTTGACTTATGTTCAATGTTCTGAGAATTTTTAATGAAACAGGATATTAAACTTTCATTAACTGTAGAAAATCACAATTATTTGACCTTAGACAGAAAGGTTGTACTCTTATACTCTATTATTCTGTCCACTTTATGGAGTGATAATAACTGGGGAGTCCGTTTTACTTTAAATTCAGAGTAACAAAATGGTAATGGCCTTTAAAAATGTCTTGAATCTTGTTTACTTCCTTGTCTTACTGTCATTCTGTTTCCTGTTAATTTGCACAAGAGCAAAACAGTGGTTTCAGAAAGCTTCTGCACGATATTTATCAGCCCTTTAAAAGATGCAAGATACAGATTTTTAATTATTTTTCAATTAACATAGGCAATCTATATTGCTCGTTCACACAGCACATTCACTTATCCTTTTATATAAAAAGTATTTACCACTTTCAGTACATCTGCATATTGTCAGTCAGTGAAGAATCTATGCCAACCTGTTTAATGTCTCTTCCACAATTTGCTATTCACAGAATGCTGCAAATCACAGCATAAACTCCTGCAAGTACCTTGCCAAAAATTCTTTAGTTATTTATGATCTCTTGCTTTTCAGCCATATTTTTGTCCATTTGCGCACCTTTAGATAGATGTAGCTCCCCAGGAAGAACAACAACAAAACTCTCAGTCACTAGAACTAACATTCAGGTTGCCACTGTTTATGAAATGATAAATCCATTCTTTCTCTTTGTTAAGACCTGCAAGACACAGCAGAGTCAAAATTTAGTTGTGGAAAAACATCTATGTAAGGCAAGCTTGCCAAATATAAGTATCTGTAAGGGTATCATCTAGCATAATACAATCCCCATGTACACCTACCAAGTCTTGTATCACTGCCACAGTTTGATCATTAATGGATCCTGCTACATCCCCTTTCCGAAGAAAGGAAAGGAGTCAGGTAGAAGCCCTAGAGGAAAATTAGTCTGTTAACTTGTCAAGATTGCATGTACTATAGGAGTGTCTTAAACCTGAGTTCTGAAGTTTGCAAAAGTATTTCAAAACCTTTGATACTCTCATTTGAACCCCAACTCCATTTCAGTTCACACATGCATTTACCTAATAAGAGGTATTTTCTAGCATATTTTTTAAATTATAAAAAAACCGGCAGTGAACTAGAAATAGTGTGCTCTCTACATAATACTGAGATCAATAGTATTTAAAGTAGCTGGAAAGTATACTAACATGAGTAGTAGTTTTACAATGGTTTGTTTGAAAATACCTGGAGGCTTTTACATATCCCAAAGGCATTTCTCATTTGCACAGTAAAGATAATTTTTTGTTTATATCTGAATATTAAATTGGGAATATAGTTACAGTTATCCAGCAAGAACTGCAAAGACTGCTGAAAAGTATATCATTGATGTATTACAGGAATCAGCAGCACAGCCATAAAAAGGTACAAGCTATGTTTTTACAGTTTTAGGGCAGGTGAACTTCTATTTTGAGACCATGAAAGCATTCCAAAATATCAGACAAATAATGGCAAGGTACTATTAATTCCCCCCTTAGTCCCCCAAATTATGCCTTTTAGATTTCCCTGATTTGTTTGTAAAAAGATACTATAAGGAATTGTCTAATGCTATAAACATAAATTAGCTGACTGTACAGCTAATATTGTCCACTCGATTCCTCCTAATATATCTGTTTTTTTCTTCATCACACATCTGTGGTGTAAGTTATAAGGTTCCAAATGAACATTTTGTCCTGTATCTTTTTATTTTTGTCACTGTAATCTCATGAAGAAAGCCCGGCTGTCTCTTTCATCAGTTTAATGACTGAAATCTACTGGATGATATTGTTTGATTCTTTATATATATGATCTAGGATACACATGTCTATGCTTTCTTTAATTGTCTGTTTCCATTCTGTATCTGGCTTCTGACCTCAGATAGTGTCTAACAAAGATTTGGTGGGTAATGAAAGTTTCTTGGTTATGGAATTCTTGGTGGAAAGAACACACTGAAAAATGAAGCTATGCAAATATTGGTGGTATCCATGTCACAGGAAGAAACAACAAAAGGTTTAAATCCATTTCATTCTGTTTCTATCTCAAAATCTCCCCATAGGCCAGGACAAGATGGAAAGTATTATCAACTTGGCTATGATGGGGTCAATATTATTTCCAATATAGATGAGAAGGGAAAAAAGCCTCCAAGACTTCAGCTGTTTTTTATCAGATTGGAGCGTAAATTTTCAAATTCCAGCTCACCTGATACAACCATGTAAAATATACAAAACTGCAAGAAGCTGCAAGAAGCACAGATCTCCCATGTGACATGCTTCAGGAATCATTGTGCTTGTAACTATTACTTTGTAATCCTATCTCTTAAAACTTTTAAATCCATGTATTTTTCCTAGGTTAACAAAGCCAGAAAATCACTTGTCCTGTAATTTTCTGGACAGTAGCAGTGCTAGGTAGCAGATTCCCTGGAAAGCTTATCAATGTATTAGAACTGAGACAAATTGACATTGGCATAACAACAAAAAAATAATTGTTTACTGCTATAAAGTAGGGAGTAAGACAAAAACTTTTCTGAAAGGATGACAATGTAAAGAGGTACAGTCATGAAACTGATGCTACTTAGGCAATTATTATGGAAACATAGCTGGAAAAGTTAGGAGAGGATATATGGGGCTGTAATTTGGTTGTGCAGAAGATTCACAGGCAAAGCCTGGTTAGAAACTATTTCTGAAGCAGCAATTAGATTGATCTCAGGAAGAAGAGATGAAGATACACTGGTTAAAGAGAAAAATATTGTTCCATCTGTCAAATCAAAGCAACTCCAAAGTTTTGATTAGTAAAACTCTTATATACTGAATGGGTTTTATCCAAACCTATTCCAGGATTATCAGGGTTAACACCTAAAAAGATGCTGTGGAAGCAATTCTTCTCTCTTAATTTCATAATTCGGAGAATTATGAGAAAGGTATGATATAGATGTATAACCTTGAGTTCACAGAAGTGTTCTAAGGCATTACTGTTACTCTAAAATAGGAGAGGACATAAAAAAACTAGACAAGCACCTTAACAAAAGTATCTTGTTAGGCTTTCGTGTACGAGTACCATTCACCAGCCTCTATACAAAGTGCAAAGCACGTACACAGAATATATCTTTACCTTCATACATAATAGACTATTATTACATATGAGATTTCTGTAGCAAGCCTTCTGATAAGCTGAACACTACATTAAAAGGGTTTCACAAACATTTCCTACCACTTCAAAAAAATTCAGCTCATTATCATGTTTGTGTGCATCAAGGCAGCATCTAAGTTTTTCACTCAGAGGGTGGTTGGGCACTGGAACAGGCTCCCCAGGGAAGTGGTCACAGCACCAACCCTAACATAGTTCAAGAAACACTTGGACAACGCTCAGGCACATGGTGTGACTCTTGAGGATATCCTGCACAGGGCCAGGAGCTGGACTCGATGATCCTGATGGGTCCCATCCAAGTCAGCATTTCTGTGATTATCTTTTCTGTTACCATATCTTAGCTTTTCACTTCATTAAGAATTCAGATAAATCTAATTTATATATATAACTGTTATCCAACAAGTTATGACACTGGAAAATGTAATTTACCTCCTCCTGCTCTTTCAACAGAAAAACAAAATATGCAGTACGTTTGTAATTTAAAAATTGTATTCAGCTGCAGTACAGAAATCTTGGTGAGAAGAGATCTTGAAGTATGCTTCAACTGGCACCAAAAAAGGAAACTTGCAATGTATTCTAGGCACTTTTGACAAAATTTAGCAACTGAACTTTTGTAACACATTTTTAAAAACTTTCTCACTTAGAAAGATAAAGAATAAGGTATCAGCAGAAGAGGTTGGTTGTTGATTTTAGTATCATGTTAAATCTTCAAACTCACCTTTCCACAACCAAGCCGACAGCTTGCATAAGATCTGGACTTGACACTTGCAGGTGTTTCCACAGTGACCACACAAATTCTTTATCAGCCTTAGAAACAGGAAAAAAAAAAAGAAGATAAAAATACATTACATGTATGCTATGCCTTTAACAGACAAAAAAGTTACACTGAACATATTAAAAAGACAATTACTAAAAAAAAAACCAACAACTAAACAAACACCGAAAGCATTCTAATGAAAATTCCCTACAAGTGATTCACTGTTCTGCAAATGACAAAAACATGGTCAATGGTTCTATGGAATAAACAAGATTTTAACCATACAGAATTTTGAACACAAATACCTACAATCAACAATAAAAGAGTATACAATGTCACATATGGCAGTAGAAACTGATAATCTTCAAACAAGGCTGTCTTTTGCTATATCTCTTACTGTTATTTTTAGCAGTCAGACAATTTGTATTACATATTAAGCCTGGAATACATGCTTCAACATTAAGTTTTACCACATTCAGCTCTTTCATTTTATTTCAAAATATACACTAAATCAGTCTTCTAACACACACTCAGCTAACCTACAGTATATAAAGGCTTCTGAAAAAAACTCAAGTAAGAGCAAGAAAACAATGTTCTTTCAAAACAGACTTCAGAAAGTTTGTGAAAACTAGATGTCAGATAAAAGCTTTCCCAGATTTATATCTTCTACTGTTGTTACTTTTCACTGGTGTAATTTTATTCCAATACCATTTTATTACTGGAAGCACCAATATTAGTTATTTTACAATATAAAACCCTATGTTCATTATATAAAAATGTCAGTGGAGAAAAATAAAAACCAGCAAAAGATGAAGACAAATAGAACAATAAGAAAGCATAGCCTAACACTAAACTGGGGACTAATAAGCCAAAATCATCTATTGGCAGCTAAGTCTATTCAACAGCCAAAAATCATGAGAGTGCAGCTATGTCTACTAGTTTTTTAGAATCATTTACAGTGGCAAAGACATTTATGATCAATGCATCTAATTGCTGACCTAACACTGCCAAGTCCACCACTAATCCCTAAGTGGGACATCTACACAGCTTTAAATACCTCCAAGGATGGTGACCCCCACCTTCCTGGGCAGGCTGTTGGAATGCCTCATAATCCTGTGTGTGAAGAAATTTTTTCTAATACCAAATTTAAATGTTAAAAAGAAAACAGAATTTGCATGAGAGTAATACACAATCTAAAGGGAAAACCAACACTATTATAGCTATCCATTCCTCTACTTCCTTCTTCTCCCAAGCTTCTGGAACTTAATCTAGTAAGATACCACAGATATCATTAGTTAACCAGAACTTCATTAAAATCATCTGAACAAACAGCACAGTACCTCGTCTCTGCACAACTCCATCTTGATTATAAAATGAAACAGAAGACCTAAGTTCCTATCTTCAACTCCACTCTTTGGTTTCTCCACAGGTTTTCTGTTTCTCATTTCTTAAGAATAAGAACAGATTGCACTTTTAATCACAGTATTGTGAGGCCACGACTTGAAACAGCTAAAAGCAATGGTCATCCAAGACGCAGAACAGTTCAACAGCACTACAAGTTTGACAAGCCTGACGAGAGTCAATAAAGACCACACACTGTATGATTAGAGTAAAACTCAGTAGTAGAAAATGCTTTTTCAATTTTTGCTATCTTTTTCATTCATTTGCTCCTGATCAGTTTTCGCCTTCCAGGAAGGAAATTTGAACTTTACATGCAGTATCAGTACCAGTGCATAACAAATCACTCCATCATAATACTTCTGTTTCTTCAGAACAAGAAAACAGCTATCTTCAATATAAAATCAAAAGACCCCTCTAAAGCTAGCAGATTTTATGCAGATTTATCATTTTTCTGAGCCCAAATTATTTCATCAAGAGTAACACCGCAACAGCCAAACACACTGAATTCTGGATTTAGCAAACCTTAAAAATTATTATAGAAATAGAAGAGATAGTTGCACCTATTTTTCTGTGATTTAAGAGGAAAGCTTCAAAGATTTTTTTTAAAAGTTCTGATATGTTTTTCCTTCAAATTTAGAAATGCACATATTTTAATTTTTAAAATTGCAGAGAAATGAGGTAGTGCTAAACGTGCTAAAAACATAAGAAAAAATGCTGAGCAAGTGAGAAGTGAGGGGATTCATGACTGTTGGTTTAAAAAATATCCTCCTCTTTCAACAACTGTAATTTCTAGTTAACATTTATTTAAATCTTTAGATGTCATCAACTATTTTAACCAAGCAAGAAATGAAACTTTATGGAGATTTGATGTATTATTAAGGTATTGCTGCAAACTCAGAAAAATTCAACCACCTACTGCAAGAAAGAACACCGCTAACAAGTCCGACTACCTTTCTGAATGTATTAGAAAACAAATAAAACAAAGGCTATGGCCACAAAGAGCTTAGAATTCAAGACTATTATCAGCTTATGCAGAATGGACTACAACAGAAAGAGTTCCTATTTCATAAAAGCAGAGAAATTTCATCCAACTGCCTTGGCAAGTTGTGCACAGCTTTTAATATGTTGACATGAAGACTGCATTTCTTGAATTTCTAAATAAAACCGAAGAATTAACAAAAAACTTTGTGCTGTTCTTATAACACTTGAAAGGAATGAAATCTCTCTCTTAACCAAATCGGGTTAGCAGCGTAAGGCCTCTTTTCAAAACCGTAAGTGACCCTGCTGTGTACAAGCAATCCTAACTGGATTATGGTGCATGATCCCATTCACTTTCTGAAGAAAGGTAATACCAGAACTAAACAATAAGTCATATAAATAAGAACTCAAATGACTTTGCATCAGTATCCAAGTCATTGTTCAGTGTAAATGCTAAATACAGGTTAACTTTCAGCTCAGAATTAAGACCAACAGTAAGCATCATATTAATTGGGTTACTCAGTTCAGATGAAAAGACGATTATCCACCTTTTTTTTTTTAAAGTAAAACCTCTCATTGCATGCTATCACCCTATGCACTTAAGTGTTCTAAATTTTTATGGATCTAGTCTGAGGGACAGTAAAAAGTGTGCACTTGTTTCATGTGTCCTCAAAAAAGACAGCAACTCCTGAAAATGCCTTGCCATGCCACCTGAAGAGTCACAATGCCTGTACACTCTGAACCATGCATGACCTACTACTTCTTTTCAAGTAGAAACAGAATGAAAAATAAAAATGTTATTCAGATTTGGAAAAACTGCTGCAAAAGGCTTCCAAAAAGCATTAGGATCTATACAGAACCCGGATTCTGAGTAATTTTAACATCTAAAAAAAGCCAGGGGGAGAAAAAAAAAATGAAACAAAGCCCAAGCCACAGTGGCCAAACTAAACCTCACTAAATAACTGCAATGGAAATGTGACTTCTTTTTAATTATTTAGAATGACATTAAATCAGTAATTCTTATACTCTAAATGACACCACTTCCAGGATAAAGAAATGTTTGAACAATGACAACAGGAATAAACCACTGTATCTAACTCTAATTTTAAAATAATTTTAATTCAAATTGCTCAGCTGATCAGTGATATGGAGAGCAGAACTGAAGTGCAAATAGTGTTTGAGCATTATTTATATCTTTAATACAGAATTCACTCTGTATTTTATACTAAACTACTTAAAATCACTAACAAATTGGTTTAAGGGCATGAAATCATTACAGCAGAGAGAAGAACGAACATAAAAAAGTCTTAATAGTATTCCACCTGCAAACACTCAAAAATCTTGAGGCAAGCAAACAGTCAAAGTTTCTGATGTCGATTTACGAGCTCATGAACTTTGTTCAGTTCAGTTTTGTTTGCCTCTTTAACAAGTTGGATTTGCTTATAATCATGCTTCCTTAGCTATCCCTTTTACTGTCCTGTATACAAGACTGTGGGAGTCGCTGCTGGGTTTTCTGCTTATATTTTTATATATTAGAAGAGCTGAGACACTCGGCTTCTCTATGACTGCAAGAAGCACTATCAAATACCATGAGATTCCATACAAGCAGCAGTGTCTGCTTGTTGTCCTACCCTGCAGGCTCCTATACAGTTCAATTCCCAGCTAGGAAATGGCTTGAGGCATCACAAGAACACTAAACATCACACAACTTTCAGACACTTACTTCTACACTTACTTCTAAGCATGGCATTCCTCTATCACAAAAAAAAACCCAACGAAAAGGGAAAAGTACGTTAATACACACTGAATTTTTCTAAATGAACAATATGTATATATGTACAATACAGGAAGAGGGAAATGTTCACATATCTTCCATAATTTTTGCTAAGTATCCAGCATGTATTGACTCTCTGGCAACCACCTTTCTACCTAAACCTTGCCAAATCTCCCAGAAACTGACCTTTTGATAAGATAAATATAAAATACAAAGTTTCAATGAGCATTCCTAATGAGAAGACAAACACTTAGGTACAAACAATCTTTTTTAACTGAATAAGCAGTTTGGTTTAACCTCTAATCAGCTATAAATATTGCACAAGCAGACTATGTTAAAAGTTGTCCAAGGAAGAGTAAAATCAGCTCCAAATTGTGCTCATGTCAGTGAAATTGACACTCCTGAGTTCCACAACATTTCTGTCTATGCTAAAAGAACAGTGATGAAACAAGATTAAAAAACTCATACTAACTGGAAAATTAAAAAAAAATAAATCTTTCTTGCAGTAAGGAATATTGATTGTGCACCAAACAAACTTGAAAGGAACAGCTACACAGAACAGGCTAAGTATAAAAGAAATAACAACAACAACCACCACAAAACACAAACAAAAGCCTTTACAATCCTACAGAAATAAGTTAAAAGTCACCGGAATTTCCAAAACTGCAAACCAATGCTATTTCAATACATGTTGTTTATTTTTCATGATGACAGGAACTGGCATTAAAAGTTACTACAGCAATCTGTGAACAACACACACAGAACTATAAAGCAATATTGTAATTACATCACCAGATATTCTAATTTAAATCAGGAAAAGCCATGTACTTGATAGGTACTTGAATTTTTGTCAAGGTACACAAAACTAAGCAGAATAGTCCACTACCTAAGTGGACT